CCGCGATGATCGCTGACCGTGCGGGGGGCGGGGGGGGGTTTCGGGTGTGTATGTGTGTTTGTATTTTTGTTGCTGCTGCGCTTAAATGCTAAGATGCGCCGCTCGTCTTTGTATATTTCACTACTATTTCATTATTATTTTTTTGATTGCCACTACCACTACTACTACTAGTCGTATGTTCGCATGACCCAGTGCGTGACACCTTCTCTTCTTCTCCTTTTATATTTCATGGATGCTATTCTACTTAACGATATATATATATATATATATATATTTATTTATTTATTTATCTATTAATGAAGCTATGTCTCAGTGGGTCTCGCGCTGTGATGCGCACGTCAAAATGCGAAGAGGAGAAGAAAGAATGCTAGCAACAACAGGAGATCAGTTTCTCTCCGCTTCTCTCTCCTTCTTCTTCGTGATATATATTGAATGGCCTATTTTACTTTACTGGCGCAGTAATAGGGCGCCGTACGCGTCAGCGAGATACGTTTGCTTTTCTTTCAATTTTTTCCTGATACAGACGCGCGCGCATCGTAGAAGCGTACGCATGTGTGCGTGTGTGCGTGTGTGTGTGTGTGTGTGTGCGCGCGCGCGCGCCTTCTCCGTTATCCGCCGTCCCTCCCCCCCCCCTCCCTTACCGTCTCCCTTCGCTCTTCTCTTCTTCTTCTTTCCCTGACCTCGACAACGGACTCCTCGCACAGCTCTGCAGACTTCAGCGGCGGATTTACTTTTCTTTTTTCCTCCTCTTCCGGTACCGGGCGATTTGCGTGTGTGTGTCTGCGTGCGTTGCAGCGACGGCAAATACCTCGACTTCCACACCTACATAAACACATATATATACGAAGCAGAACATTCCTTTTCTTTCCACTTCACTGGAGAAGTTCAGCCGCCGCTTCAGCTCTCATCGATCGCCGCTGCTGTTCGCGGGGAGACCACGGGTTGCCACTGCTGTTGCTCTTCACACAGGAAGGAGTTTATATATTTATTTATATAGAAAACAAGAAGAAGGCAAGGGAGAGGAGGGAAGCAAATCATGTCCACGCAGCCCAACTTGGACTTCTACGCGCGTGTCCCTACGCGGCGCGATGTCGCGAAGGCGCGACTGGCGGAGCAGCGCAACACGATGTACACGTGGCGTAGCGACGCAGCGCAGACGGAGTTTGACCCCCGCACCGGCGCGCGGCGTGGGCAGCGGCACGTCTACAGCCCTCGACCCACACAGCGGTATACGGGCAGTGAGAACAACAGTAGTGCTTGCAACCGAAACAGCGGGGCGGAGCGTCGGGCGGTGCGAATGGGCAGTGGGCGGATGAGCGGCAAAGGCGACTACGTCGAGCAGGAAACGACGTGGTCGTCCGCGGCGGACCGCACGGGTGACCGGCGGCGGTGGTGGCGGCAGACGAACTTCACTTTCAGTCCCGATCATTTCCGCACCGGCAAAGGCGCCAGCGCAAAAGACGCGGACCACCGCAGCGGAAGGACGTCGCCGGAGGCTTACACGCCGTACATACACGACATCATCGTGTTCTGCAAGCCGATGCAGCACCTTGACGGAGCAGACACGATCACTGCCGCAGCAGCAGCGCCGCCACCGCCACCACCATCCCGCAGTGGCACGGAGGTTGTACTCGCCGTGACGTGCAACGGCGCGGAAGCGCGGGCTCGCGAACTGCAGGCCGCCGAGGAGGCCAAAAGCGGTGAGATGCTGAGCCTCTCGTCGCTCTCGCCCGTTTCACGTATGCAGCCGCAGACGAACGGGTACACCTACGCCCCGTCCTCCACGCCTGGGTTCGACGAGGGCGGCAGCATCGCTCGGACAGCAGCAGCGGCAGCAGCAACAGGGACGGTGCACGGCTCTGTTGGCGGTGTGCCGTACGCCGCGACGCAGCCCTCCGCGATGTCCTTCGACGAGGAGATCAGCACCCCGGGCGACACCAAGGTGAAGCCCGGCAACGGAGCGCATGCGACACAGTCGGCGCTGCGGCACAGCTCGAAATCAACGTGGTGTGACGTTGTCGGCCCGACCATGGCAAGCAAGCAGCGTGCCTTGACGATGGCGGAAGGGATCTACGGGGACTTGGTGGCGGGGGAGGCACAGCGCACGGGTACCGCCTACGGCTCCGCCGCCTCTCTTCGCATGGCGACGGTGCCGACGTGTGAGTTAGCCTACAGCCTTCGCTCATCGTACATGCGCTCGACGCAGGCAAAGCACGAGCAGGGCGGCCGGCACGGCAGCCGACACGAGAGCGGCGGCGGCGGTGTCGGTGGCGGTGGTGGTGCCAGCGGCAGCCTTTCCCACAGTGCCGCGTACCCCGCAGGCAGTCCGCCAAGCAAGACGGTGGCGGGGGTCTCGACAAGCGCGATAAGCCGCGCTACCCGCCCAGGGACTTCGCAGAGCTACCCATCGCCGCAGCAGCAGCAACAGCAGCAGCAGAACAGTCTGCGACAGCCGCCACGGCCGCAGCGATCGCCCTCGGCGAACACGACACTCAGCAACTCCGGCGTGCAGGTGAACAGCCTCTATGGGAACGGACCCCACCGCCGCACCACCACGGCGGCCGGCTCTCACGGCCCCGTCGACGCGCCCTTCTTGAAGAACGCGGACGGCGACGGGGAGGACGTCCACGAAGACGGCGGCACGGCTATTTCCGCGCTGCCACACCCAGGTTCGACGCGCGATTTCGCTGCCATCGGGGTGCCATCAAGCGCCGCCGCAGCAGTAGCAGCAGAAGCAGGGGAAGGCAGCGTGAACCTCTGCCACCAAAGTCCCCTTCCTCCGCCTCCCTCGCAGCTTCCTGCACGACAGCAGCGTCAGCAGCAGCAGCAGCAGTCGGGGAAGGCGTTTTCGCCCGATCACTCCATGGCGAGCTCCTCTGCCGCGGCAGCAAGCCGCACCCTCACCACCGCCGAGCCGCACGGCGCGGACAGCGTCAACATCCCGTGCGGGGAGACCAGTCAGACAGCGCCGCCCACGCTGTCGCAGCTCGCGCTCGAGCGGGAGATGTCCCATCACGACCACCACCACCACCATCACCGCAATAACAACACCAGCAACAGCACGGTGGCAGGAGGGCAGCGCACGTCACAAAGGAGCTCCCCACTTGTGGGGTCGGGGCGTCCCGCCAGTGGGTACCCCGTGTTACCAAGCAAACCGGATACGGACCGACACGCACACTCGGCCGGCGCGCGGCTGGCGACGCAGACGAGAACAGCAACGACCGGTGACGGTGCAGGCGATGCCGCGCAGTCGGCCAACCGATCGCGTCACCGGCGCGGGCGGCGACTGCCAGCGCTGCGCAACACCACGAAGGAAATACCCGGCTCAAGCGGGAGAGGTCAGCGCAGCGGATCGACGGGGCATGCGTACTCCGCCCTACCGCCACTAGGAGGAGAAGATGCAGCAGCGCTGCTGGAAAGCGGGCGGCCGCCAGCGGAGGCGAAGGAGACGCGGGTGTATGCGGTGCGAATGCGCACCGCGTTTACGAGCGCGGACGCGGTGTTGCCGAAGCCGCGCGAGCCCCAGCGGCGAGGTGTGCCAGTGCTGCTGCCGGACGATTGGCAATAAGAATAATAATAAGGGAGTTTCCTATGGAGAAGAAAACTCACTCACACGTGCACTCCAACACACGCACGCACACACGCACGTGTGTGCATACGCAATGGTGGTTTGAAGTCACATCGACAGGTCTTTCTATTGTTGTTGTTTGCTCGGTACGTTGTCTGTTGTTGTAGCATGTGAAAAAAATGCAGGCATTAAATGCGAGGCTTTACCCTTTCCTTTCTTCTTCTGCCAGTGCCCCCTTCCATGGGCGTCCTCGTGCGCGTCAGCGTGTGTGTGTGTGTGTGTGTGTGTGTGTGTGTGCGTAGGCGCGTGTGGGTTTACCTACTCCTTATTTTATTATTATTAATACTGAACTCAAAACGTCGCCCTTTCGCCCTTCTCACTCACACAAGCCTACACACATATATACATATATATGAATGATTCTTCTCTTGTTGTCTCGTTATTGCCGTTGTTGTTGTTGTTGTTGTTGTTTTGATGTTTCATGCTGTGTGTCGGGGCTGCGTGGGCAGGCCCCACGCCCACGCCCCACCCTTTTCCACATGTAAAATAGCTCTTCATTCAGCTATGTATAATTCTTTGAAAAAGAAGCTGTGTCTCCTCCCCCCCCTCCCTTCCCCTCCTCCGCCCTGTTAAAGAGAACGGGATGGATGTCGCCAGCTGCCGTTGTTTGCTCTGTTGCGAAGTCAGCGGACTCTCCGCCCACCCCTCCTCTCCTCTGTGTTGTGGTGGGTGAGCGGCGCAGCGCATCTCCCGCCTTCCTCATCACTAATGTTGTTGTTGTTGCTCTGCAGAGAAGACGGTGGCGCGTGAATGGACCGCCCCACGCACGACACGAAGGAAAAGGAAATCCATTTTAATAAAGGCTCTGGCAGTGGCGGTGTCGGCATCCATTCCCGCTGTGATGGAGGGGGGGGGGGAGGGAGAGGACAGGGCACGGTGGAGAGCTGCCGGATCCCTTCTCCTTTCGCTGTCTGCTGTCCCGCTCAACAACAGCAAGAAAGAAAAATCGAAGAAGAAAGCGAAGGCGATGGACCGCATCAATGTTTGTATCACCACTTTAGAACTTTAAAGAAAAGAAGAAAGGTATACGAAAGTCCACAAACTCGGCTAGGAGGCGTCGTTTTGGGTTCGAGAAGGTGTGGCGGCAGCTCCCCACCTTCCTCGTCCTGCGCCAACGCACCACCACAGCGACGACGAAGAGGAGTTCTCCTTTTCGGGGAGGGGGCAGGGGACTTTTTAAAAGAATTGAAAAGCCGCTGTGGGTGTGAAAGGAGTATCCTGGCGCGAAACTGCATGAAGCGAACGTTTCATTTAAGGCGATGAACACGAAGCTGTCATCGTTCTCTCTCTCTCTCTCTCTGTGTGTCTTTGCCGTTGGCGAAGAAGGCCGTCTTCTGCTTCGATTTCCTTTTCTTCTTCTCGCTGGTCTGTGTGTTACAACTTCCTTTGCTATAAATATCTTTTTCCGCTGACCTCTCTATTTCTTCATCCCACTGCCTTCTTCGTTTTCTCATCGGACGGCTTTATCGCAGATCGACACGCACTAATAAAAAAGGCGGCTGAAAGAGCGAGAGAGGGGAGCGACTCGTGACGCGTCACACACCACATCATTCTCGCGCCGCATCGCACCCGTCTTTTTTTTTGTTGTTTCTACTAGAAGGACGAAGTGCAATCCATCACGTCGGGCAGGAGGATGCCAGCACACCACCACCCCGCCACCGCTACCACCATGACGGCGACCACGACAACAGCACCGTCTTTTCTCGTCTACCCGCTGCCCAGCATCGCTGATGAGACGTTCTTGCAGTTGATCTTCCGCAGTAAGATGCGGCGCAGCCTCTTTTTTGGGTTTGGACGCGGTCGCGTGGCGGTGGTGGAGTTGGCGGACACGGACACCGCACAAGAGGTGGAGAAGGTGCTCAAGGAAGCCGCTGCCGCCGCTGCTGCTGCCTCCACCGCCCAGCATGGGCCGTCTCGGCACGAGGATGGGACCGTAGCGAGCGGCGTGCCACAAGAACAGCAACGACAGACGGCGGAGGAGGCGGAGGAGGCGGAGGAGGCGGACATCGCGAATTTAGATGGGCTGACGCTGGCGGATGTGTTTGCGATCCCTCCATCCTCCGCTGCGGAAGCCTCCGCCGCAGCGGCGACGGAGAAGCCGGTGAACGCGTCAACCGACTTCTGTCACCTCCCTTTTCTCGTCTTTCGCGGCCGACCGGTGCACGTGGTGGTCAGCGGCGTACGAGTGGACGACTTCTACGCCAGCGGTGGCATCGTGCCGGAGAAGCACGAGAACAAAGAAGATCGAAGCAGCACCAAGAAGAAATCGAAGAAAGTCCGAGCGGCAACGGCGGCCGTTGGTGGTGGTGATGGTGGTGGTGGTGGTCGGCGTGAACGCAGCGCAGGCGAACAACCGCAGCAAACATCCTCCGCTGTGGTGCAGGCCGCTGCCACTGCGGCGGCGGCGCACAAGTATCCAAAGAACGCCTGTCAGCGGTGTGGCAGCCTCAGCCACTTCACTCGACACTGCGATGGGTCTGGTGCGGCGACGACGGCCACCACAGGGCCAGCGACAGAAGAAGGAGACGAGGAAACGGCGGCGACGACGCAGGAGAAGTTTGGCGCAGCGGCGGCGGCGAAGGTGCCGCCAACACCGCGGCCTTCGCCAGCGTCGTCGTCCGCCCCCGCTGCGCAGGCGCGGTTCCCGAAGAACTGCTGCCAAAAATGCGGCAGCGCGAACCACTTTACGCGTCACTGCGACGGCGCGGGAACTGCGGCACCGGCCGCGGAAGATGCAGCACCGCGCAAAAGGCCGCACGTCGATGACGCTCCTCCGCCGTTGAGCAGCGCTGGCGGGAAGACGCGTGAAGCCGTCGTCGTCGGCAGCGTGGCTGCTGATGCCGCGGTGGTGGTGGCCACGCAGAAGCCAACGGTGATGCATCGTGCGTCGAAGGACCTGTGTAAGTTCTGCGGCTCCGACGCGCACTTGTCTCGTCACTGCCCGAACAAGAAGTAATATTCTTCTTTTTTTTTAAGTAATTGTGGAGTGGAGCGTGCGCGCCAACGTGTTTTGTGCGGGTGCGATGCGAAGCTGCAGCACTCTTGTAAGCATTAATTCTGAACGACTAACCCGGTAATGCTGAGTGAAGCACGAACAGTACATCGGAAGGAAGTCAGCAGGAAAAGAAGGGAGGCAAGAACACTCAGCCGTCGCCTCTACGTTGATGCATCCGCGCTGGTGTGGGCGTGGATGGTTAAGGGAATGAAAAGCCATTCGTGCGGCGGAACGCGTGACAGCACGCCCGCTCGCATGTGCTCTCCTTTTGTTCTGTGTGGGAGTGACCTCTTGTCGTTGTCAGCGAGATGTATATATATATATATTACGGTCTCTACGTTGCCGTGGAGGTCACTGGAGATCACCCCCTCCCCTTAAAGAACAGATCAGCGCGGTCGACTTGAAGTTCTCGTATCCCCCCTCCCCCTCTTATTTGTTTTTGCTGACTATGGTTGGATGTGTTGCCGCCGCTCGTTAACCGCCCTCTCTCCCCTTCCCTCCTCCACGTTGTTTCTTTGGATATTCCTTTCTTGTTTTAATGAAAGGAATATACAATTACGGCCTGCTGCATTGGTGAACAGCTCAACCGGTAAGTCGAAGTTTCAAAACAATACACACAGCGTAATTGAGGCGGAGGCGGACGACACGATGCCGCCACCACCGCAGCCGAAGAAGCCGGCGCACCGCACCCCCCTCGACATCGACCATGTCGCCATCGACTTCTCGACGGTGAAGCCGTCGCCGTCCGCAGCAGCGGCTCCGCCCGCGGCGTCGGCGTCCCCGGCCGTCATCCCCGGCCTGCTAGAGCTTATGCAGCAAGAGCAGCAACAGCAAGCCGATGGACGGCAAGCGGTGTCGGACGTGCGTGCCTTCGATCCAAGCCTGCAGGGTGTCGCACAGCGACAGCTGAGTGGTGCGGGGCTTGCGGCCAGCCGTCGAAAGAAGGTGTTCGGCGGTCAGCCCTTCGTCCCGCCGAGCGCGGCGACGACGACGACGGATGCGGTGGAGGTCAACGTCAACAGCAAAAACGGAGACGTTAGTATCGCAACCTCCGCTCTGAAGCAGACGGCGCCCATCGGTGAGACCAGCGGTGCTGCTGCTGTGCCTGCGACTCCCCCTCCGGTGCAGCCGAGCAGCGACCCGGCCGCCGCCGCTGCGCAGGATGCCCTGGACTTTCTGATCGCCGCTCAAGTGAAGCTGCAGCAACAGAGCAGTAGTAGTAGTAGTAGCGGTTTTTCCTCTGACTTACAGAAGCGACGGGAGATGTACGCGCAACAGCTGCGGGACTTCTGCCAGCGAGGGCGCCGCCCATTGCCGCCCGTTGACGCGTCGAGCTCATCTGCGTCCGCTACTACCCCACCTCCTCCTTCCACTTCTTCATCTGCCACTGTCTTGTTCCCCAACACGAGCACCTCCCACACGAACTCGCTGCTTCGGCGGCTCTTCGCTGACGGTGTGCCGGACGTCGAGCCGTGGGATCGCTGGACATCGGCCGCACCACGCTACGGTGACGCGAAGCACCTCATCGTGAACCCCCTCACCGCGACACCGGCGCAGGTGCGCGGCGCGCAGTTGGACCTGCTGCACCACCCCGTCATCCCCGACTCGCACTACACCCGCCACTATCAACACCGCGACCTGGAGCAGCCCGTCCTCGTGACGGTCGCCTACAAAACAAAGGCGGAGCTGCGCGCGGAGCGGCGGGAGAGGCTGAAGGAGAAGCAAGCGAAGAAGCAGCGGCAGCAAGCGGACAAACAGGAAATGGCAGCGGCAGACGCACCGACATCGTCGCTCGCCGCATCCTCATCCGCCGCCGCACGCCAGCTCCTGCACGACCGCCTGTCCACCAAGAATCTCGCCTTGAATCTTTTCGCCGCGAGTGTGCTGAACCCACTCGCGGCGGATACAACGGTTCTCCAGCAGTACGAGCTGCGCGACCTCGAGCACCAGCGCCGCAACCACGAGCGGCACGTCGCCGCGCTGCCGAACCAGATACTAAAGCGCGAGCGCGATCAGCAGCGGTACGCGACGGAGCATCCGCTGCTGCGCGCCTACCGGATTTACCCCATCTACGGACCTGCCCACCTGGGCAAGCTCCGCCACTACGCCAATGACAACCTGCTGCGCGGATTCGTGCTGTACGTGGCGGAGTGTGATGCGGTGGTGGTGCTGGCGGGCGGGGAGAAGGCGGTGCGCCACCTCGACCAATGGATTCTGCAGAAGATGGTGTGGGAGCACCACGACACGCGCGCGCATCGACTCGCGACGGTGCCGCTGATGGACGCCGAGAGCTTCTCATTTCACTTACCGAAGGCACAACCGCCGCAGGGAGGAGGCGGTCGGGTGTACAAGCAGGGGAAGCTGATGGAGGGGGCCTCCGCCACGGCGGACCCTGCGGCGAGGGAGGCGGTCTTTATCAAGATGGCGCCGAGCGTGGAGGAGGGGGAACGGTTCCTGCGCGAGCTGCCCGCCCCGTCCAGTCCCTGGACTGACTTGAGCGCCATCTGGCGTACGGCGTTCTTGCAGGATGGACTGCAGAGCGAGGTGGGGAGAGAGAAGAGGTGAGCGAGACACCATTTTTGTTGTCGGCGCCGCGTCCATCCACCTTAGATCCCGCGAGAGAGAGAGAGAGAAAGGGGCAAAAAAAATAGAGAGAGAGCACTGCGAGAATCACACCCAGCTTTTTCTTGCGTGTTGCGTGTCATGGAACCAAAGCCGGATGCAATGTGAAGTACCGTAAAGCAACGGAGGTAATACACATCAACAACAAGAATAATAATAAATACAGTAACCTTCACAATGCAACGCGTCAGGCAAACGGGAGATCTTGCTTTTGAAGGTTGCATTCAGCTTCATGCTCGCTTGACGGCGCAACCCGCGAGTTACCGCTGCCGCTCTCGCGCCTTTGTGCCCCCCCCCCCCTTCCCTTTCCTTTTCTGAACTATGTATAGGTATATACGCTACTCTCTCTCTTTCGATGGTCATCGTACTTTTCTCTTTTCCTTTCTTATTTTGTATAACTCCGCACGTCCACACCGGTGCAATCATCCTCCACGGTACATCGGCCGTTTTTTTTTTTCTGCTGTTGTGATGATGGTGGCGACGGTGATGGTTGCTGTTGTACAACACCAACAACACCCTCTCAAGGAGATTTACTCACCTCTACGCATCGGCTCGCGCGAGATTGTTCGGTCCGTCTAGCTGCTGCTGCTGCCTTCCCTCCTTGGTTTTACTTCCTCTTCCGTTCCTTACGTTGCGCGTTGATTGCGGTACGCGCGTATACATATTTATATCTTTCTTGGTGTGTGTGTGTGTATGCTCCACTGCGACGCGTGAAGTCGGAGAAAGAAGAGCCATACGAGATACAACTACTTCTCTAGTTTCGTGCAACGATACACGCCCATACCTAACTATACATCCCTCTATACACACAGGAGAACGCCGTCCGCCGCAGCAGCGTCTGCGGTATCATCATTATTATTTGTTTTCCCCCTGTGCTAATAACGAGCGCGCGCGAGACCAAACAGGGCAAAGATGGCGCCTCCGCCCTTCTCGATGGAGCGTACGAAGTACGACATGAGCAGCTTCTGGGGCCGCACCCGCTACTGGGCCGAGTCGATCAGCCCCGTCATGCTGCTAGAGAATGAGCGCACCTTGCAGAAGGCGCAGATGCTGCTGGACCGGTGGAAGGACGGCCAGGCTGGAAACGCCAGCGACGCGGAACTCTGGCACGCCCGCATGGCCGTCGAGAGCTGCATCCACCCCACCACGAAGGAGGTGCTGAGCCCCGTCTTCCGCATGTCCATGTTTCTCCCCATGAACTACTTCGTCGTCCCCGTGATGATGATGCCGTCCACGGTCATGAGCATCTCACGCACCATCGCGATTCAGTGGTTCAACCAGAGCTACAACAGCGCGGTGAACTACGCAAACCGCTCGTCGGACGCGCAGCCGGCGAGCGAGATCGCGAAGGCGTACACGGCCGCCGTCGTCGTCGCCTGCGGGGGGAGTCTCACCGCCACGATGTGGCTGAAGCGGGTGCCGACCGGCACGGTAAAAGCGACGCTGATCCGCGCGTCGGTGCCGTACCTGGCCGTGAGCTGCGCCGCGGTCGTCAACTTGGCGAGCATGCGAAAGAACGAGTGGCTGAGCAGCGGGGAGGGCATTCGGGTGGTGGACGAAGACGGCAGAGAACGCGGCACGAGCACGGCGGCCGGCTTCGACAGCCTGAAGAAGTGCAGTGCGACACGCGTTATTTGGAACTTACCCTGCATGGTGCTGCCGACGCTGTGCATGATGCCGCTGCTGCGCGTCAGCCGTCTCGCGCGGCGCCACTCGGTGGCGACGGAGAGCTTCCTGCAGATGCTCGGCATTTCGATCGGTGTGCCGCCCGCGCTGGCGGCCTACGCGCTGACGCAGACGATTCCGGCGACGAAGCTGGAGCCGCGCCTTCAGAACCTGACCCGGGAGGACGGGTCGCCAGTGCAGAACTTTACCTACTACAAGGGTTTGTGAGCAGCGGGATACATGGAGGGAAGGGAAAGGGGGGAGAACACCTTTCTTTTCTAAAGAAAACAGATATATATCTATCCCCCTACACCGGCGACGGCGTGGCATCGGCAGCACACCGTGAACGTACGCGGCGGCGACGCTGTTTCCTCTCTCTTGTGTGTCAAAAGAAAATACACCGGCGACGGATCGGCATCGGCGGAGACGGAGGACGAATCCCACGGCGTCCGTGATACACGCAGCGGAAGAAAACCCAAAACTCCGAAAAAACAACGCCTGACTTCGCTTTCTTTACTTACACGCCTCCGACGTGTGATGTTTTATCGTGTTTTTTCTTTTTCCTTTCTGAGTTTAAAAGAAAAACAAGACAAGTGGATGCGTTGCTTTCTCTAGATGCAACCGGCCGTGTTCTCCAACACACACACACACTCACTCACTCACATACACGCTCTCCCCTCTGCAGCGACGAGGGGAAGAGAGAGAAATTCTTTACGTTAAAACTTCAAGGTAAAAATAACAATTCGTACTAGTAGCAATCGGAATGAAAAGATATCAACGACTCCGTTGCTCTCGCTCTCTCTCTCCGTGTAAGCCTCTCATCTTCTTGCAGCTCGTTCCGTGAAGTACAGGCGTGAAGGGGAAGAAGGAAAAGGAGAGGAATACATATATATATATATCTACATTGAAAACACCTGCCTTTGTGGATTGGTTTGGTTTGATGGCCTCAAAGGTCGTTGTGTGTTTTTCATTTTTTTTCTTTGTAAGGAAATTTACGCCTTCTTGTCTTGATTGGTTTTGTTTTGCTATGTAGTTTATCACTTGTGAGCGATCTTTTATCTACATAACTGGGATCTGCTGCGGTGAGACCGCGCCGCCTCCCTCCCGCCCTCCGTTTCCTCCCCAGGAAAAGAATCAAGAACGCGCATACACAACACACACACAGCCCGATCTTCTCTTTACTGTCGCTTCCGTTCGATCTTTGCACTGGTCTTTGCTCTTTGGTTTTTTTTTCATGTTTTACTTCTTAAGTATCTATACAACTCACCTCATCTGACGTACACGCACGCACATACTTCCAGAAGCACCACCCGTTGTTGGTGTGTGTGTGTGTGTGTGTGTGTGTGTGTGTCGGTGTTTGCGCGTGTGCGTGCTGAAGGCGCTGGGTCGCATCACGCGACACGACAACACGTCCGCTATTCGGTGTCTCCCGTCAGAGGAGAAAAAATAAATGAAAGAAAGAAGAATGATAATAGAAAGAAAGAACACAAACTTGAGCAGTCGTTGGAATGCACAGCGCAACCCGTTTTGTGAGTCCTTCGCTGATGCTCGTCTCTGTGTGTGTGTGTGTGTGTGTGTGTGTGTATTCTCCGTGTTCAGTTAAGTACTCCTCTCAACCGATGGCGAAGTTTCAGCCGTGAGAGGAAAGGGGAGGGCGTATTTTGCCGCTTTTTGACTCCTCGTTGATAGAGTCTCCGCAGCGCGCGCGGTAGCGTGACACGTGCACCGCTCAACCACCTGACTCAAGCCTTCTTAATACCCCACCCTCTTACCCCTTCCCTCATCACCCCATCCCTCATTCATCAATTTTTATTCTATTCCGCATCTATCTGTTTTTTGTCGGTGATGATGTTGGTGTCGGTTTTGTTTTTGTTTGCTTTACAATATACACTGACGACGGCTTCACAATGAAGAAGAGCACACAAGGCTTTCCCTTATGCGCGCCTACTCCTCCCATCGATTCACCGCCACACACCATTGCCGTACACTTCATCTCGTTCTCGCTCTCTCCTCGTCAGTTTTCTCTTCTCTTTTTATTAATTACTGTGCTTAATAAGCGTGCAGCGGCTTCTAGCTGCACCCACCACTCTTCGTTGTTGTTCCACTCTTTCCTTCCGCCTTTTTTTTTCTTATCTTGATTTATTTGTTTATTACAGCTAGATACAGTATGAGCAGCAGAGCCAACCCCCCAACTACGTCGGGGAGCGTGGCGGTGAAGACACCCAAGACGACCGCGGCAGCACCGGCGTCCACCTCCGTCAACAGCTCTCTCTCCTCCAAGTCCAGTCCGAAGTCCGGCACGACCCCGCTCCTCGGCGGCGTGCGTCGCTCCTCCTTCACGCCCACGTCGAGCCCGACGGATCGCACGGCGTCCGTCAAGACCCCGGCCCCGCCCGCGTCTCCGCCTTCGAGGGCGTCGACAGCGAAGTCATCAACGTTTATCCCTCCTTCGGACGCAGCCACAGCAGTAACGAAGGACAACAATAGTGCCAGCATGTCTCTCCCCCCGCCACCTCCGTCAATTCGTATTCCGTCTTCGTCTGGTGGGTCCGCGCCGGCGCAGGTCGTGCCTTCGGTGGTGATGGAAGAGGAAACGGAGGGAGATGACGCCCGCGGGTGGGACCCCGTCATGGACGGCCGCTTCCGTGTCGCGCTGCTACACCGCTTCGCCGCAGCAGCGGTAGCCGACGACGACGACGATGCTGATGATGGCGGGAAGAGAACTACAGCTGGTGGTGCTAGCAGCGCCGCACACCCGTCTGCCTTCGCCAACGCCGTGCCGGAGGAACTGAATGATGACGCGGCGGCGGAGTGCGAGGAGGAGGCGCACCGCACGCCGACGCACGACGCGTTCTGCAACAAGTACCTTCCCGGGGAGCCGTGTGTCGAGCTGGAGGTGGAGGCATCGCTTGTGAACGCGATCAACAGCGCGTACACCTCGACGGGCTATCCGTTCGTCGTCACGTCCGGCAACACCCGCGGCGCCGTGTACGGCTCTTTCGTCGACACCCGCAACCCGGCGATCAGCTCGCTTGAGCTGCCGCCGGCGCGGTCATACGTCGTGGCCCCCAGCTACACCGGCGGCCAACAAGCCTCGCACGGCTTGACAGAGATGGACACGCTGCTCGCCGTTCAGTGGGGGCGTGGGGATCGCATGATGACAGCCGCAGGGTCGGCCGCGGCCGCTGCGGTGGCTGCCTCGCAAAGCAAGTCCGCCGCTACGGGCGGTGGAAGCGGCAACAGCAGCGCGGTAAGGGAAGGAAAAGCTGCGAGCCCGGGGTCACTGCCACGGCCAACTTCTGCCACTCTCGCGGGGGCTGGGCCGGCGGGCTTCCCGCACTCACCGGCCGTCGCGCGCACCATCGCGCATCACCTCGCGCAGTACCCCGAGGGCATTCACGGAATCCACACCTCGCCCAACCTACGCAGAATTCTGATCGAGGGGGAGCTGCCGACCGAGCACGCGCTGACGCCGTCGGCACCGTTGCATGCGACGGCGTGCGCACCACTGGCGGTGCCCGGTGGAAGCGTAGGCGTCGTTGCTGCCGCTGCGGCGGCGGCTGGGAGCGGCAACAGCGAAGAAGCTGCAGGCTCACCGACCACGGCGCAGCCCCCGACGGCAAACGCGGAGGCCAATGTACCGCCCTTGCCGCGCCCATCAGAGAGCAACGCCCCGGTGCAGCACACCCTCGTCAGCGCCAGCACCTACAACCACCTCTCCGTGTACGTCGTCGCCCACCAAGATGGCCGGATGCTGTACACGGCAGCGCTGCAGAGCCTCTCCGCCAGCATCGCAACCCGTAAAGTGACGGCGCATCAGCTTATTTTGGTCGGACGGGAGGAGGTACACGCCGCCGCAGGGCTCTCGAGCACGCAGATCACGGCGGTCACGTCCATGCCGGAGCGGCGCACCAAGATTGCCTTCACGAACGTGCCGGTCGCCGGCGGCGAGGCGGCAGTGTTCTTTCAGTCCAAGACATCACGCTTCGTCGGTGCAGACGCGACTCGCCGCACCGTGTCCGCTGCCGCCGTTCGCTTCACCGTGGAGCCGCACCTGATCTTTGGCAACCAAAACGGTGATATTTTCATCTTTAGTCTGCTGCAGGAGCGCATCGTCCAGCACGTTAACTTCAACGCGGGCTCGGCGCAGGTCAGCACCTCCCTCGCGGGTGGGAACAGCGGGGTGGGCAGCAAGTTGATCTGCTCCTCCGTCTCCAGCATCGTCGAGGTGCAGAACGGGATGGAGAAGAAGATGGCGAGCATGGTGGAGTACGCCATGGTGGCGAAGCGCAACCACCGCGGCTACTTCGAGAGCGACGACGTGCCGTCGAGCTTCACCCCGGTAGGTGCGAGCGAGCCGACACACTACTACTACCCCGTGCCGCCCTCCCTCTACGCCGTGGGCTTCGACAACGGCCAAATGCTGCTGCTGTGCGTCACCTGCGAAGGCGGGTGGATGCTGCGCCACTTCAGCAGTCAGTACTTCGGTCTTCGCCCGATCCACGCCATCGCAGTCCGCGTCCCACCCTTCTACACGCGACTCTGGACGAGCTGTTTGCCGACGATCGCAAAAGGAGAAGCGTCCGCATCCACCACTCCAATCACCGCCCTCGTTACACCGGAGCAGGCGCTGATCGTCCACGAGGAGGAGCAGCACATCGCCGCCGTCGCGTGCAACGGCGGCGTCATCGCGTTGGTGCGGCTGCCGGGCATGGAAATCATTTCCTCCGTTGCTCCGACCGAGTACAACGCTGTCGGCGAGATCCTCGCGCTGCAGTGGACGTCGACGTCGACCCGGCACTTGCTGATCCCCGACGTGCTGGTGGCGTCGGGCGAAGATGACACGATGACGGCTTTCCAGCTGCTCTGGCCCTCGACGACGAGTGGCGGAGAGTCGAGCTACCACCCGCACCTGTACATCAACAACGGAGTGGACACCGTCTCCCACCTTTCCTCGAACGAGTCCATTCTCGCCGGGGGTCGACTCCGCATTTTGGAGAAGAAAAAGTTTCATCGGAGCTGGGTGAACCGGCTAAACTTGTTCCCCATCGCCCTGCCGGCGGCGAGCACCACGCCGTCGCTCCGCGGTAGCAGCAACAGCGGGGTCGGCGACAGCAGCAACGCACGACGAGCTTCTTGCGCCACCGGGGGCGGCATGCCGCAGTACCTCGGCGTTTGTCTGCTCGCGACCTCCTACGATCGTCGCACCTCCTTCTGGCCGTACATCTTCAACAGCAGCGAGGACCTCGCCGAGGACGGCAACGCCGTACACGACAGTCTGATGGAGCCGGCGGTGGGTGGACACGAGTTTCGTGGAAGGCCATCTCTGCTGTCGCAGCAGCTCGCGTCAATGGCGGTGACCGCCGCGCCGGATCACTACGTGCTCGTCGATGGCCCGACCGCTGCACGCCCGCTGCACACGGAGCTCGTGGTGAGCGTCGCCGCGGCTGGTGGGGGGAGCAGCTTCTTCCTGACGACCGTGTGCTGCCGCGGTAAGGTGAAGTTCTGGTCCTTGAAGGTGAAAACTTGAAATTATTATTAAAGAAGTGAAATGAACGACTGCCTTTATGGCAGCTATCGCGTTGTCGCCGTAGTTATTGTTGGTGTTTCGTGCTGTCTGCCACCGCAAGTCGGAAGTCCAGTTCGATTCCTTCTTCACGGCCTTGTTATTTGTTGTTGCTTCTTTGATACTTATAGTTTAGATATGCAATGGGCCACGTTATAGCTATAAGAACTCATTCATCTTGGTGGACCTTTCCTCTGCTGCTTCATACATACACGTATTTATGTTTTATATAGGCTTGATAGCTGCTCTCCGCTCCGCCTCTCCCACCGTTGTCGGTTGGAGAGGTTTTTGTCTTCACCGTGTCTACTGCTTCTAATACTCCTGTTTTGCGCCCACTTCGCTCGTTTTCTTTGATGTCGTTGCTGCTGCTGGTGCTCCTCGTCGCTGCACACGGCTCTCGTTACTGCTGTGATCGCGTGTATTATCGTGAGTGTCTGTTTGATTACCTCTTTGATTCGGGTGAGTTCTGGTTGGATTTTCCCCCGTTTTACCACCGAAGCCTGGAGCGCACGGGTCGACGTGTGTGCGCGTCATGCTTCGTCGCACGAGTTTTTCGTTGCCCATCTTCCGTCGTCTTCACCGAAGCTACGATTTATTGTTATTATTAGTATTACTCTCTGTTCACCTCGCCTTGGGTTTGTTTCTTCTTGTGGTTGACGATCTTTTTGTTTGTACCTTGATGCTGGTGTTGACCTCCGTTTACGCGAGAGGGGGTGGTTGGGGGGTGAGGAAAGAGGAGAGAGAGGGGAGTGCGGGCGTCACACTCCCTCACCTCACCAACCGAGCGCGGGTTTCTTCAGTACTATTATCTATTATTTAACTTGCATAACTGCTTGTCTGATATCGCTTCACAAATAATTATATATATATATATATATATATATATGTGTGTGTGTGTGTGTATTGTGTGTTTGACGCCCGTGTTTGCGCCGCTGCGGTGGTGGCGGTGGTCGTTGTCGCTGTTTGGCTTTTGTCGGTGCTGAGGTTGCATTACGTGTGAAGACGGCAAGGTTCAACTAAATCGGTAATATGCTGTTTTCTATGTGATGTCGTGACTGAGTTGCACGCGCACATCTTTCCGCTGTCTGTACGTGTGTGTGTGTGTGTGTGGGTGGGTGTGTTCTGCGTCTCCCTGCACCAGACATGAAAGGGAAATCTACCTATTCCAGACTCTTTAAGATAAACAATGGAAAAAGCCCCTGGAGGCGAACGCTGGAAGGAGAGGCGCCGTTCTTTATTGTCTGTACCATTATTATTATTATGGTTATCGTTGGACCGGCGCGTCTCGCGGCAAATTCCTTCTTTTGCCCTCCCTCCCCCTCTGTCACCTACCGCACCTCCTCTTTCCCCCTCCGCGCTCTCTCTCTCCCCCGCTGCTCACGTACACACACTCACCTACTGAGCACACACACACATGCCTCTCTTTTCTCTCTGCGTGTGTACGTTGGTTTGCGTGAAGTACAAAAAAAAAAGTATTTTTCTCAAGAAAAAACATCTCCGCAAGCAACGCCATTAAAAGACGGTTTTCGCACGCTTTTATCGAGTTCTTGTTGTTCCGCACACACACAGACAGACACACACACACATCCATGCGTCGGCGTGCGTTTCACTGCCTGCTGCCGGGTAGCCGCGGCGCCGCCGCCTTCTGTGCTGCTCAGCGACGCCTCACCTCTTCCTCTGCCTTTTCCTCCATCGCGGCCCGCCTGACCACCGGTGCCGTGCCCACCCACGCGGCGTCGACGGCAACCTTTTCGTCCCCGTTGGTGCTGCGTCGTCATGCCGGCACGTCCGACGCGGTGTCTGGTAGCGGCCACCGCCACCACCACCGCCGCCACGCCGCCGCCGCTGCCCTCTCCAGCTCCTGTCGCCACTACATGCCTCTCCCACGCGACCAGGACGACTTCTCCGTGTACACGGAGATCGACCTGCCGACGGAGTCGCGCATTGACTCTATTCGCCGCAGCGGCCTCGCCAATCAGGAGTGGGTGGCGTGCGAGAAGGTGCATGGCTCGAACTTCGCCGTGTACCTGATCGACGAGCACGAAGTCCGCTTTGCGAAGCGCAGCGGCATTATGGACCCGAACGAGAACTTCTTCGGCTATCACCTGCTCATCGACGAGTTCTCCGCGCAGATCCGCCTGTTGTGCGAGCTGTTAAAGCAGAAGCACCAGATCAGCGGCCGCATGGGCCGAGTGATTTTGCACGGGGAGCTGTTCGGCGCCAAGTACAAGCACCCGCTCGTCCCCAGAAGCAGCCGGTGGTGCACGCTGCCGAATGGAAAGAAGATTCCCATCTCGGGGGTAGAGATCCAGAGTGAGCCGTTCCCGCAGTACAGCCCGGAGCTGCACTACTACGCCTTCGATGTGAAGTACTCCATCTCCGGCGCGGAGGAGGACATGGTGCTGCTGCCCTTCGACGAGTTCAGTGAGGTCTGTGCGAAGGTGCCGGGCCTGCTCTTCGCGAAGCCGCTCGTCCGCGGCACGTTAGATGAGTGTCTCGCCTTCGACGTGGAGAACTTCATGACCCCGCTACCGGCGCTGTTAGGCTTGGGCAACTACCCGCTGGAGGGGAACTTGGCGGAGGGCGTCGTCATCCGGCACGTCCGCCGCGGTGACCCCAAGATAGAAAGCACCGCCGTCTCCACGATTATTAAGCTGCGCTGCTCGTCCTTCATGGAACTGAAGCACCCTGGCAAGCAGCAGGAGCTGAAGGCCACGTTTCTCGACACGGTGCGCGCCGGTGCGCTGCAGCGGGTGCGGAATGGAAAGACGATTACGGTGTTGTCTGACTCGATGCTGCCGAAGGTGGAGGCGGCGGCGAACGCGCTGCTGCTCAACAACGTCAGCGAAGGCCGTTTGAGCAACGTGCTCTCCAAGATTGGCCGCGAGCCCCTTCTCTCCGGCGAAGTCACCAAGGAGGACGTTGTGTTGATGCTGGCGCAGGACGCGCTGAAGGACTTCTTAAAGGAGGGCGATGCTGTTGTGCTGAACACGACGCTGTCGTTCCGCAAGACGCTTATCCGCAACGTGTACTTTGCGGCGGAGGAGCTGCTGCGGGAGGCGTGGCGGCACGTTATGGACCGCGAGCGCGCCGCGCAGGCGGAGGCGGACGCTGCCGTGGCGGCGCAGGCGGCGACCTCGTAGGGCCGTATATCTCTATTTCTTCTCTTTGAAGCCCACACACAGAGCAGAGGAGGAGGAGGGAGAGGGTCTGTGCTGTTGTCGGTGGTTTTTCTATTCTTGTTGCCATTGTGCAGAGAGCGGAGGCGCACCGTTGCCGGTGGGTTGTCTCCCCGCGTTCACTACGGCGTGGAGGGGAGGAGGGGGGAGGGGAGGCTGGTTTGTACGTCTCGTGGGCGAACGTGATGATGATGTGTGTTTGCTTCAGCTCTGTTTTGCTGGCGGTGGGGAGGAGAGGTGGAGTGGAGGAGGTGGACTTCGTTTTCCCGGTAGTATCTATTCATCTACTTTATTTGCTCGTTGACTCTCGCTGCCTCTCGTTCCTGCCGATGACGTTCGCGCGTTGTGTGATTCACATACCTTTACAAGTGCGGTGAAGAAGGAAGAGGGAAAACAACTATTTGCCATCATCACCGTCATTCAAGCTTAGTATCAGTTCTCTCCGCCGCTTTCGAAGGGGAGGGTGGCGTTGACCAGCGAAACCGCCGTCGGTGATTGCAGCGAGGAGCGCAAGATGGTATCGCATGCGCGGCTGCAACGTAGAATGGGAAAAAGGAAATCAGAATCTCGCGCGCGCTCCCCTTTTCCCTCTTCCTCTCGTTTATTAATGTGTTTTATCTTGGGGCGGAATTGTTTCTTAGCTTTTTTTTTTCTCCCTTGTCGTGTTCGCATGAGTGTCTTGACAGCGACTTGATTGCCGTTACCGCAGCAACGACCGCACGCAATTCCTTTTTTAAACAGCAGAGAGCGAAGAAAGAAGAGATCAATCTTCACCAACGAATCCAAATCCAACTCACACACACACACGCCCCTCTGTTGTTTTCTTTCATTCGCTCTCCCCTCCCGCTCCAACTCATTTATATATATTCATTTATCGCGCCGCATCTGTATCGTCCTCATGTCCACTGCTCTCCACACCTCTAGCGAAGGACACCGTAGCGCGGCAGCAGCAGCAGCATCACTACCGCGGCCACAGCTCAGAAATACAAAACCTGAGGTACACCGCGACGATGGCACCGCCACCACCACCATCACCGAGACAACGCCACAACGCCGTAGCACCGCGCAGCCGCTCTCGACGTCCACCGACACGGACGGTCTGCGCTGCGAGGTGCTCTCGATGCGCAGCGTGCCGCATGCCCTGTACACGCTGCCCTCCGTCTCCCACGTCGTGGCCGCGTACGTGCGCCAGTTAATGGACGACTTCGCCTCCTCCCTCCTGATGTGCCGGCCAGCGCGACGATACGTGTTTCAAGACCGCGGCTCGAAGAACGCCAACGGCGAAAGCGAATCGACGGCGATGAAGAGCGGTGTGGCTGCCCGGGCGACCGTGTTGGAGGACGAGGAAACGTATCTGACGCTGGGCCTGTGCGCATTGGAGGCGCGGCAGCGACGTCGGTGGCGTCACGCACAACACACGCGTCGCCAACACCGAGTAGCCGAAGACGAAGCGAAAGACGATGATAACTCTTTCGATTGGCTGTGGGACTCCGCCGTCTCCGGTGATGGGGACAGGAACGGCGGTGACACAGTGCGCCTCCACCCGAACTTGGCAGCGGTGGAGAGTCAGCTGATAGAGCTGTTCGCGACGACCGCTCAAGCACGGCGTGGCGGCAACTGCAGCAGCCACCACCACGAAACATCACGCCTCAACTCGGCGATCGGCGCGGACGGCGCTCCCACGTTTCTTTCAGCGTCTGCTGCCTCGTCTCCGCAGCCGCCGCTACCACCACAGCCGCATCCTGACGAGGAAGTCGACCCGTCGCTGCTCACGCCGCCGCTGCTTTCTTCGTTGCTGCGCTTCAAACCGTTGCTGCGAGACATGCAGTTCCTGTCGCGCCATCTGCTGCTGCCGCGGCACACGTGGTCACATCATCAGCGGGAGTGGGTGAGTGTGTACGAGGACGTTAGCGTGACGCTGCGTGACCGACTGGCTCGCTATCAAGCCACAACAACGACCGCAGTCTCTGCATCCGACAGAGACGTGGGAGATGCGGATGAAGATGCGTCCAGCAAAGCGGCCGAGCGTGTGGAGGGAGACTCCGCAAAACGGGTAGGAGGAGGAACCAGAGTGATGCCCGCCAGCGAAGTGGAGCAGCTCTGGTACACCTTGTGGGAGCTGCTCGGCGCGGCGTGGCGCCAGCGCGATCGGCTCTGGGGCGCCTACCGCTACCTGCAAGGGCCGCGACAGCTGCCTCCGCTGTCCCTCAGCAGTCAAGCCGCCCGCGCACCCCCGCCTGGTGTGCACAGCTCCCCGCTCCTCCGCGATCAGCACGCGCGGCACTTGGTGCACGCGGCGCAGACAATGAATCGAAACCATCCCCGTCGGCCCTCCCGCGCGCCGCCGTCGTTGGTGTCTGCCCACGACGAAGACAGCTGCGCGTTCGGCCCCTTTACCAGCAGCGACGTCGGGGTCTCGTCGGACCGGCTTTACGTTCTGCGGCAGCCGCTGGCGGCGGCGCTGCGGTCGCTGCGCGTGTGCGTGCCTGCGAGTGGCCGCGACGCCCTCGCCACCTCGACGACCGCCTTTGCGGGTTTTACCTACGTGACAGCCAGAGCGGGATCCTCGGCTACCGCAGCGCCACAGTCAGCGCCGCAGTCGTCGCCGCCGCCTCCGTGTGTGGTTGTACCGCTGTTTGACGCGACGGAAGAAGACGCACGCCTGCGTGCGGCGGTGCCGTACCTCTCGCCGGAGGTGTACTTAAGTCAGCAACTCCGGCATCAGCAGCAGCAGCAGCAGAAGCGTCTTCCCTTTCAACAGGAGGTGGGGGAGGATTCGCGGGGGGAGGAGGGGCGGGCGGGCACGCACCGGTGCACCGCTTCTCCGACGATGTGTGGAACGCCGCCGTCGTGGTGCTGGAAGCTGCGCTCAGCGGGTTCGCAGTCTCTTCCTCCTCGCACTGCCATCTGAGCCACGCGGCGGTGGCTGTGCCACGGGTAGAGCCGCCGTCCTCGCCGGAGCGAACGAACAGAGATGCAGACACATCCCCAGATGCAGACGTGCCTGCGCTGGCGTCGCAGGAGCAGCAGCGGGAACCTGCGTCACTACTGTCGTTGCCGTTGCTGCCGACCGACTCCGTTTACACGGCGGTGCTTCTCGTGCTCACGCAGCGCCATGGTCTCTCCCCGGCTGCGGCGCATAACTTCCTCTACGCCGCACTGCACCACCTTCGCGCTGCATTGAGGCGGTGCGCTGCTGCCAATGCCGACGCGGAGGGTGAAGAAGCGGTGGAAGCCGCGGCGTCATCGCCTGCCCCGGCGCGTCTGGCGCGCGAGTGGTTGACCTACCTGTGCACGACCTACGGGCACGGCTTTGTGTGCGACTTCTTCGCCGGCGAGGTGGCCGCGAAAGGGCTGTGCTGGCGCCGCTCAGAGCGGTGGAACGCGTTCGGCGCCGCGCACATCACCGCCGCCACCACCGTGGCCGTCACGTCGCGGGGTGGGGGTGGCGCTCCGTGTCCTTCGGCGACAGCAGCGAGAGACCCACCACCGACTCTGCATGGTAGTGCGGCCAACTCGATCATGAGCCCGCTGAGTGTCGCCGGCAGTGACCCGGGTAGCGCCACTGATCGAAATCCGTTGAGGGCCTCGCACTTCGCCGCTGCTGCTGCTGCGAGACAAGGAAGTAACGCATTGGATGATGATACTAATAACTCTTACCAAAGTGAGCAGCAGCAGCAGCAGCAGCAGCAGCAGCGGGCGCGTTATACGGCCGGCTCGATCGGCTCTATGTCCGTGCTGTCTGACGACGGCAACAGTGACCTTATGCTTGGAGGAATCACCTACCCAGCCGGAGAAGACGCGAGCACCTCCCCGCACAACAAACTCGCAGCATCACCGAACACGTTTGAGTTGACGGCGACTACTCAGCATCAGCAACAGCGGCAGCGTCCACCGTCGTCGCTGCCCGTCACCCTGCCGAGCTGCCCAGACAGCCTCGCCTCGTTTGATGCCTTCATCCAAGGCGCCTCGGCCCCGGCGTCGCCCCTGCGCAGTGGCCACTCCTTCGCCTTCTCCGCTGGCACGAGCTTCCACGCGGTGGCAGCAGCAGCAGCGGCGGCCACCACCACCACCACCGCCACAGCTCCTGCCCGTCTCCCGCAGAAGCTGGATCGTGCGATTGGTGTGCTGGACACCCCGCTCCTGCCACTGTTTGGGTTACCGGGGTCGCTTGGCGAGTCCCTCCCGGTCAGCGAGGCAGCAGCGATCGCGGCCGCCGCCGGCTCGCCTAGTCAAGAAGCGCCTCCGCAGCAACGCATCCAAAGGGACGGTGCGTGGGAACAACTCGAACGCTTCCTGCACCATCGCGCCAGGTCTGTCGAGAGCAGCACTGCCTCCGGCAACAGCAGAAACAATCAGAGCGGCACCCTCAAAGCTGGTGGTGGTGGCGGAGGGTCGGGTAAGGCAAACGGCGCCGTGGCCGATGCAGCGGACGTGGACTGCGTAGAGGCGCTCCTTCACCTGCTGTACGCCTGCGTCCTCTCGACGCTTCGGCACGCCGGACAGCGCATCCGTGTGATGGAAGCACGCACGGAGAGCAGCAGCAGCAGCAACACGAAGAAGACGAAGAGCAACGCAGCAGACGAGGATTGTGCGAGGTACGCGGCGGTGAACCATCCATTCCTGCGGGGGGTGGCAGAGCGCGGGCTGCTGAGCACGTACATGACCGTATGCGGCTGTTCTCGCGCAACGGTCAGCGAGGACGAAAGCACGCCGCCGCAGCAGCTGCGGCGGCGAGAATTACCGTCGCTAAACCTGTACGTGCCGACGCGGGTGCTACGCGCCACCATCGCCGACTTCGAGGAGCACGACGCCGCGGCGATCGTCCCCGCGGGTGAAGGGGATCTCCGCGATGTGAAGGACACGCTAACGGCGGCGTCAAGCATCGTCGCCGCGCTCGAGCGACAGCGGAAGCAAACCGGCGCCTTGCGGACGTTAATCGGGGACGACGTACGAGCCTGGGAAGCGGCGCGTGACGCAACTCGGCGCTCCCGTGAGAACTATTTTTCTTACTGGTCGGACTACGCACAGAGGCCGGTGCAGCCACCTGCACCGGTGCACCGCGCTCGGCCGGCGGTGGATGCGGTGTTGCGCTCGATGGAACTCTCGGTGTCCGTGCAGCTGCATCATGTCGGGCAGCTGCGCCGTCTGCTCTCCCACGGTCTCATACGTGATGCTGCAGGAGGCGCTTTCGTTGGCAGCGGTCGTGGTGAGACGGAGAAGGAAGTCCGCCGCTACCTGCGCACGCACGTTGCGCAAATCGAACGCAGCGGCGACGACGACGGCGACGCGGCAGCCGACGCGGGTTCTCCGCCTCCGTCGCTGTCGCCGTTCTTTGTGGTCCCTCCCACGATGCGCGGCGTCCTGTGGGGTTGTCTGCTGCACGTTCCGGCAGGTCGAAGGCGGGAGGCCATCTTTGCCTACGCCGTCCATCGCACCGCGGCAAAACCATCGTTGAACGACCGGCAGCTCGCCGTCGACATCCCTCGCTGCCACGCCTATCACCCGCTTCTCGCCTCGTCGAAAGGCTCCGCGCAGCTGCAACGCCTGCTGAAGGCGTGGCTCTTCCTGCACCCACGCTACGCCTACTGGCAGGGTCTCGACAGCGTCTGTGCGGTGTTGCTGACGGTGAGTCCGCACGATGAGGCCATGGTCCTCGCGCAGCTAGACGCTATTGTGGACGGCTTCATTGCCCACGACGACGGCAGCGGCGGTGGCGGTGGCGAGGATGGATTCGGCAGTCGCTCAAGTCTGCTAATGCCAGCCGCAACAGCATCGTCTCCGTTAACGCAGCAGCCGAAGCCGAAGCCGTCGATGGCAGATCAGCTGCATCGCCTCTCGGTTGTACTGCGCTACTGTGACCCGCTGCTGGCGCACTACCTCTTTGGCGTGCTCGGCTGCACGCCGGAGCTGTACGCGATTAGCTGGCTGCTGACGCTCTTCTCGCACAGCCTGCCCACGCGCAAGGTGCACTTGCTGTGGGACTTACTGTTCGTGGAGGGAGATGTGGACAGCGGTGGTGGCAGCGCGTGTTTAGTGGCTCTGTGTGCGGCTGTCATGGTGCACCGCCGGGCGGCGCTGCTGAGCTCGGACTTCTCCGGCTGCCTCACCGCCTTCAGCAGTGGCACGTCGCAGCTCGATGTGGCCGCTGCCGTCGGTGACACACGGCGGTTGTTGTCGGTGCTGCCGCCCTCCGTGCTGGCGCAGCCCGTCGCGGATGACGTGGTGGACACGCCGCATGGCGGACGACGCCCACGACAGCGCCCTTCCGCTCTCGCGAGAGGGGCAGCAGCAGCAGCCACCGCCGGTAGCGGAGGCGCGAGCAGTGCGACGGATACCGCAACCCTCGCCTACCTGTCCGTCGAGGATTTGAAGTCAGCGTGGGCTGTTGCGCAGCGGCGGACCGCGTCTTCGTACGACCCCACCGGTGCAGCCGCGGAAGGAGCAGCGCAACGGCAGCAGCACTGGTCTGACACGGGCGTTTATTTAGTCGACATACGTCCCTGCGACCCCCGCACCGGTCCGCATGACTCCTTGCTGAGTGCCATTCACCTACCACTGCACCCCGCCGGTGTCTCGCCGACGCCGTCGGCGTCGCTGTCGTTCGGCCACATCGCACCGCCCTCGCCGCGCACCGCGGAAGTTCCCGACCGGGCGCCACAGAACGGAAGCCGCGGAGATCGCCGGAGTCGCCAGGACGTGGACGAGGTCGAGCAGCGCACGACAGCGGCCACGGCGGGGGAGGGCTGGGGTATCGTGGACGAACAGGAGCGACTGCAGGAGCAGCAGCAGCTGACGCAGGAGGCGCAGGAGCGACACGTGGCCGACGCAGCGGCGGAGCTCGTGCGGTTCATGGGCAACCCCTTCGTCGCCGCCATTGTCCCCTGCACGAGCGACGCCAGCGATCGTGGGGCGTCGTGGGCGGTGCACCCGCTGGTGCTGAAGACCTCGATGGCGCCGCATGTGGTGATAGTGGCAGGTGACGGGAAGAGTACGAGTAGCAACAGCAGTACGGCAGGAGAAAGCGAGGAAGTGGAACTGGCGCATCAGCTCGGCCTGCAGCTAAATGCGTGTGGCGTGCACAACGTGAGCGTGCTGCGTGGTGGTATGGCGGCGATCCGTGTGGCGATGCCGGAGTTGGTCGTGCCGCACGCTCAGGAGTCGTGAGATGTCGTTGCTTGCTGCTGCTGCTGTTGGGTATTTGGTTGGGTGCGTGCGTTTATCCGCTGCCCCCGTTGTTTTCTCCCCTCCGCTTTTTTATTCCTTTCTCCGTTTTTTTTTATATTTTGCTGTTCGTTTGAACTTTTTCTTGAAGTATTATTATTATTTTTTTTTTTAAAGAGAGTTGATTGTAGCTTCTCCGAATGAATAAAAAGGATGGTTTCCTTACGTTTGATCGACCCGGGGGGAGGGGGGGGGGGCGGAAGAAACGTGGCCCGAAAGAAATTGGTTTTACGTACATACGAAGGCATGCCAGTTCTGTCTGTGTGTGTGTGTGTGTCTCTCTCGTCGGTGCGGATGGTGACAGACAACTACAGCTGCACTCACTACTCCTTTGGAGTTTTTCCTCTCCTCATCTTGCTCTCTCTCTCCTCTCCCTTTCGCATATCTTTCTTTTGCTTTTGAATATCTTGTGTGGCGCCGGGGATGGGTGCGTACGCTGCCGTGAAAAGCCTCCTCCCACGCCCTTACATTGCAATCGACAACACTATATAGATAGATATTCTGAAAGGCAGGGTGCTCCTCTCTCTCTCCCTCTGCTCTGTACTCAGCGGGTCTTCATGGTTCAGTTCGTGATCGTCGCCGACGCCGGCGCGACGCTGTGCCGACTCACCCTTGCCCCCACTTCCACCGTTGCGCAGCTTCTGCAGCAAATTTTTCTAGTACGACCGGAGCTGCGGTCCACCACGCGCGTCATCCGCAATGACGCTCGCGGGGCGGTCTTTGTCGTCGCCGGCGCCCCGGACGCGTCCCTTCGGCTGACGCTTCAGCAGGCCACGCTGACGGCGGCAGAGGCCACGGTGGAGACGCTGGTCTTTAGCAGTCAGGCGGTAGTCCCGCCTAGCTCGAGTCAGTCAGCCGCCGCCTCTGCATCCGCTGCTGCTGCGAGTGCGACGAGCAACACAACCAGCAGCAGTGGCGGCGGGAGCGCACCGCCGAACTCGTCCGACGCCGTCGCGGCGCGCATCCTTGAGATGTTCAGCGCTGGCAGCAATCGAAGCACCTCTGCCGCTACGCCGCCCTCCGCTCAGCCACCACCACCACAACCACAGCAGCAGTCTTCGCCGTTGCCGGCGACCACTGTCGCAGTCCCTGCCCCTGGTGGAGCACAGGAGGAGGGGAGTGTCTTCAACCCCGATGCGCTGTCCCCCGCCCAGGTTGAGCTGCAGCAGCGTCTCTACGCCGCCATCCATCAGCGGCAGATCGACGAGAATCTGGCCAACGCGCTCGAGTACACACCGGAGGTGTTCGCGCCTGTGGTGATGCTGTACGTTCCGTGTACAATCAATCAAGTTCCCCTCAAGGCCTTCGTAGACTCGGGGGCGCAGAAGAGCATCTTGAATCGCGCCACGGCGGAGAGGTGCGGGCTGATGCGACTGCTCGATACGCGCATGAGCGGGTTCGCGGTCGGTGTCGGTCGGCAGCGCATCCTCGGGCAGATCCACATGGCGCCCGTGAACATCGCCGGCATGTACATCCCCTTTGCCTTCTCCGTGCTGGAAAGCCAAGACATGGACCTCATCATCGGACTGGATCAGCTGAAGCGGCATCAGATGGTGATTGATCTCAAGAACAACCGTCTGACGATCGACGAGGCGCACGTCCCGTTCCTATCGGAAGGAGAGATTCCCAAACCGAAGGCGATGGAACCGTATCCGCAGGATGAGGAGGGCGGGGATGTGTTTGCGGGCAGCGGTGGCGGTGGCGGTGGAGCCGAGGAAGACGAACATTGGCAGCAACAGCAAGAGCGCCAGCAGCGTGGTTGTGCAAACCGACATGTTGACGTACCGCGCACGCTTCCGCAGCATCTTGACGAGCAACGAAGCTCGCCCTCGTCTCCCGCGGCGGCGGCGGCATCGGCGGCGGCGGCGGTGTCGGGCTCAGACGTCTCCGTTGCGGAGCTCGTCCCTGCTCCGGTGCATACTCCCGCCACCTCCACCACCACCGCGTCGCCCGTCACGGCGGACGAGACGGCGGGAATGCCGCAGACCGAAGCTGAAAAGGCGGCGCGAGTGGAGGGGTTTATGTCCTTCACCGGTATCACGGACCCGGAGCAGGCGAAGAGCTTACTGGAGGCGGTCGGCTGGGACGCTGACGCGGCGGCGGCGCTGTACTTCGATGCTGCGTAGACGAAGTAATGATGAGGCGAAGACCGGGAAAGGAAAGCGGAAAAGAAGGACGAGAGCTGTCGCGCGTTTTTGTTTTGTTCCTTCGTGCTGTGCATGTGCGTTTAGGTCTGAGAGAGAGAGAGGGAGAGAGAGAAGTTGATGGCAACGATGACGCCCCCACCCCGCACCTCGGCTTTTCTTTCTTCTCCATCGACGGTGTGTGTGTGTGTGTGTGCTTTACCCTCGTTGCTTTGGTGTGTTGTTCCTCCTCCACTCCCTGCGCGTCTTCGCCGTGTTGAGCGTCGCCCGTTTGTCCGGCACTCTTCTCTTTTATATATGTGCTTTTTCTCCTCTTCTCCCCCTCCCTCCCTCCCTCTCTCTCTCTCTCTGCGCTCATGAAGAAGCAAGGCCGCAGCGGTGGTCACGCGGCGCATTCCTTCCCTGTGCTTCTCGGTGGCTCCGTTGCTGCGGTACTGTCCTCTTGACTATTACTTCTATTTCGCTCCCGCCCCGCGCGGAACTCCTCTATTAGTGTTTCCATCTCTGCGCATTTTGTTGCTGTTCAAACGAAGACGTACGCATCACAATAATAACTACTAATCATTACTATTATTATGATTATGGTGTTTATAAGAAGACACTACGCGGTAGTTCTCCGCACTGTTGGTGTGTGTGTGTGTGCATCCCTCACGCCTGCATGTCCCCCGCCCTCTCCCTCACATTTCGCATCGCACGAGGTACGCTGGAGCGATGCTGCGACTGCCCTCCCCTCCCTGCCATGCGCCGTCTCCTCGATTCGCCTTTTCCCACCCTCCCATTCCCGTCCTGCTTGAGTGCGCTTTTTGTGTTTTCCGTCTGGAGTGCGCCACGGCCGTCAGCTGTCTTTCTTCGTTGTTCTTGAAGGACGGTATTCTGCGCTTCTTCTTCCCGGGGCCTTCAACTTTCCTTTTGTTTTTCTCCTCTTCGCATAGTAGTAGTAGTAGTACTAGTACCGCATTCGCTGCAGCTCCTCTTCTGGTTTGTTCTTCGCCCCTCTGCGCTGACACACACACACACACAGATACACCCGCATAGTACGAAGACAAAAGCAAGCGGCGTCAGCAAGCGGCAGCATCACCACTACTGCAACGACATCACTTTTCGAACCCGTCCCCCCTTTTCCCTTGGAATTGTTGAAAACGAAGAGAAAAAAGGGATAGCATTCGCACACACACACCGCCAAGAAGAGCTCAATGGCGTTCTCTCCCTCTTCCGAGACGCCCGCGGCGCCGTCAGCGGCGGTGGTCGGCTTCCAAACGAAGAAGGTGCCCGGAATGCCCGGCTCACCGACCTCGATCGCCAGCATCACACCCGAGCGACTGTCTTACCTCCAGGCCACGCTGGCGAAGCTGCCGGAGTTGGACCTGAGCGAGATGGCCCGCGTGAAAGAGTGCTTCGCCGCCGTTCTCGGCGAAGGTCGGGAGAACATCGTGAACGGTCTGGAGCTGCGCGTCGTGCTTGGTGATCTCGGCCTCTACCCGAGCGAGGAGGAACTGGAGATGGTCCTGCGCGCCTCCCGCGACCGCGTCAACTTGGTCGGGCTAACGCGATACCTGCGCCTCTACAAGAAGGAGTTCTGGCTGAACCAAGTCGCAGCAAGCTCCTCCGCGCAGCAGCAGCAGCGGAGCAGCAACACTGCTGCCGGCACCACCGCCACCACCGGCTCCGCGAACGCCGGCGTCGGCGTCCACCTGCGGCGTCCATTCAACGGTGCGAATGCGGGCTCCACGAATGCGGTGGCGGCGGCTCCTCCTGTCATCGGTGTTTCGCACACGTACACCGCCTTCAGCGGCAGCCCCGCCCGCGCAGGAGGGCGGGACGACGACACCCTCCGCGCCTTCGTCGCGCTCGGCGGCGAGGAGGACGGCAACGGCGAGATTGCCGCGGCCACGCTGCGCGACGTCGTGCGCGGCTTCGGCCTGACCATCGACATCGACGCGATGATCCGCACGGTCGATGTGCACCACTCCGGCATGCTTGACTACGTCGACTTCTGTGCCTTGTGGGCTGCACCGGCGGAGGGGAGCTCGGCCACATCGATAGGAAACGCTCTGCGGCAGGCCTCCGCGGATGCCGAGCAGCGTGAGTCCATCGAAGGGAGAGGCAGCAACGCCGCCTTCACGCCTGGTGGCTCGAACCGACGCATGCTGTCGATGCTGCGGAGCCCGTCGCTCTGGTCGAACATGTCCACCGGTTCGCCGCTGCGCCGCTCGCGTTTACTCTCGTTGGGCAACGATGTGGGCATGTCGGGGTCCACGTCCCCTCGCCTCGGCGCCGCCGGTGCTGGTGGTGGTCGACTCCCCATCTCCGGCGATCGCGCCGATGGCGCCGTCAACGCAGCGAATGCGGCCCACAACACTGTGACGACCTGCGCCCCGGTGCTGACGGCGGCGCTGCCCGCGCCCATCTCCGAGGAGGAGCACGCGCTGCTCGTTCGGATGTTTCTCTTCCCCGATCAGTTCGAATCCGACGCGGCAGGACGTCGCGGGGGAGGCGCGCGCTTTATGCTGCCGCCGCGGTCCCCAGAGGCCGGCGCCGGTCATAACTCCACCTTCGCCGGCGCAGTCAACGCCGCCACGGCATCCGCGCGGCTGGCGTCTCTCTCGCAGCGCAGTCACTCGCAGCTGCGCCTCTCCCGCCCGCGCAAGTCGGGGACCAATGCCGGCGGGCGCAAGACGAAATTCAGCCAGCGCAACAGCGGCAACGGCAGCGGCGACAACAACGGCGACGACCTCACGGCGGACTTCTTCTCCCCCAAGAACCAAAATGTGTACCGCCCGCCAAGTCCGATGCTGCTGTCCATGCGCAACAGCACGGCACATCGTAATCGTGTGAAGCGGCTGGAGGAGCAGAAGCACGCGGCACGGCGCAGCGACAACGGCAGTGCTGCGCGGCAACGACAACAAAATGGCTTGTACTCCGCGACGATGACGCGCGATGGCGGTTACGGGCAGGGCGCCGATGGCGACAACGCCTCCCGGCCGGCGAAGTCGTCTACGTGGTAGAGAAGAACGGGGAGGGCGAGGGGCGTGCGTAACGGCACGCGAAGCGTCACGACAGCGGTGCTCCCCTGCCTGTGTTCACTGTACGGGGATAAATATATATGACAGTGCCGGGGGGGGCCGGTGGTGGCCGTAGCTCCTTCACACTGATGGCCTTCGCTCTCCCGCGTTCTCTCTTCTCCTTCGGGGTATGAGGGGGAAAAAGCTCGGCTGCGCTCTTGTCTGGCGTGCGTGGTGACACGCACGTGTGTGCGTGTGTGTGGTTTGGTGGTTTGGTCTGCAAAAGTTTTTCTTCATGTTTATGTTTTTCTCTTCTTATCTCTTCTTAGCTATATGTCATATCCTAAATATATACATATACATGTATATATATATATGTATACACATGCGATAGTCCCGCACTTGTTCCCTCTCTTGTTTTTTTTTTTTTAAGAAGAAGTTTCCTGGAATGCGTTTACCCCCTCCCCCTCCCCTTGAATTGATCTGCCCTGCTCCTCGCTTTCCCCGCTATCCGGGAAGTATGCGAGAGGGGAGGTGAGGAGGAGGGGGAGGGGGACGCGATGCCGATCATGTATAGTTTTGAATATATATAGTGTGTGTGTGTGCGTGTGTGCGGTTCTTCTGTACCAATGTATAGGCGACAGTCTGTGTGGAGTGTGTGTTCTTGTCAGTAGCACGTCGAGGTGTCGCATGGGCGCCGCAGCGCAACGGCAGCAGCACCAGCATCATCTCTTCCTCTTTCGCTATAGCCCCTGCCTCTCCTAGAGCGTGTATTATGTGTTGCCTTTGAATGGATCCTATCAGCTGGAATCAAAGATATATCCAAGCCAATTATTTTAAAGAGAGAAAGAAGGAGACGTTCTATTGATGATCTTCACCGGGGATTGCGGGTGATGTGAGTCTCTCGTAAACTACGTATTTTGGTTTTAGCGGGAGGGAAGGAGAAGACATGCCATCCGCGTGTCTTCTCCCAGGCCTGAAGGTTGCACCCCGCGTTTCCTTCGCAGTTTACAAGGGAAAAGGAGCAAGAACCGTCCTTGTGAGAGGGATAGAAAAAAAAAGGGGGGGAGCGCTTGAGCCTGTGGCAATCGCCGCTGGCGTGTCACATCTAATCATAAATAAGAATAATAGTAATATATAAATATACATGAAGATGCTTCTTACTTGCAGCTTATCTCTCCTTCACCTACCGTTCTCCTATCCCTCCTCTCCTCCCTTCTCCCTTCTTCTGTCACATTTTTTCGTACTTTGAGGGTTACGCGTCGATGTGATTGAATGCGGCCGCGTCGGCATTACGCTGCCCTCCCTTACGCATCTTCTCTTTCATTAGGGTTGTATTTTTTCGTTTCTTCTTCTTCTGACGCGCGCAACGTCTTCTTTCTGACCGTTGTTTGATCCGCTTGTTTGTGGCTGTTGTTGTTGTCGCCGCTTTTCGAAAAAGACAGGGGCGCCTTCTCGCGTGGCGACAGGCGTTGCTCAAACGCGGCTCCTGCTGCGCCGTCAACTCGCCTCTGCGTGTTATCAAAAAAGAAAAAAAGAGAAAGAAGTATCCGCTGCTGTGCACACTTGAGCACGGAATATTCTGTGTGTGCGTGCGTGTGTGTGTGTGTTTGGTTGTGGTTGCTGGAGTGTGGGGGAGTGTGAGGGAGAAGCAACAGAAGAGACGGGCGAACTCGCTGCTTGTTTCCTCTTCTCCTTTTGAGTGAGAGGGCAGAGAAAGGGAAAGGAAAACGGTGAATGTATGAGTAAAAAGAGAACAGATATTTATTCTTTTATATTTACATATATATATTTATATGTGTGTAGATCATCTCTCCTCTCGTCCTGGCTTGCCTCTTGTGCCGACGATTCTGTGTGCGCCCCTTCACTCTATGTATTTTTGATCATCAAAAGAAAAAAAAACCGCACGTAGCTGTTCTCCGTTATTAGTAGTATTATTATCACGCAATTTCTTTCTACATGTGTGTGTCTGTTGGTGAAGCAGGGTGGCTTCGTTTGTCTGTTTTGTGTTCCTTGTTGATCTTTCATTCCACTTCTTTCCTCTTGTATAAATAGTTTTACAGTTTTTTTTTGCCTCACGAACATTTTACTTCAGCCTCCACAAAGCGAGGCATCAACATCTCTGCTGCAGATCAAACCGCATTTGTATAGATATTGTGGTGGCGGTGGCGGTTCGTTTGAGGCCGCTGCTGTTCTTCTCTTCTCGTTCATCTGCTTTCCGCTTTCATATATATATATATATATATATATATTATTTTCTCGCTACGGTGTTTACAGGGGCACTGCTGAAACGAGCTCGCCTGTTGTTGCTGCTCTACGCTTTTTCTCTTTCTCTCTGTTTTCTTCTCTTACTCCTGCTGCACGAAAATCGATTGCTCGTTCAGGGAGGACACCAAACTGTTTTTTGTTGGCGTTGGCGCTGTCGGCGTTCACATCCTCGCCGTCGGCGTGCCAGGAGAGGCCATCCTTTCACTCCCACTCACACACGCATACACTCACTTCTCCCTGAGGCGGTGCTTTACCATCTTTTTTTTTTAATTCCTTTCTCAGATATTATTGTTTTCCTTTCCAGGTGTTAACTTCACCGGTCCTGTTGTTTACTTCTACTACTGCTACTTGTTCGTCTCATCGCCTCATTTGCATCGTTGTTGCTGCTGAAGTGTTATTTGCTCTCTTCCTCGCTTAGCTGGTGTAGCCCTCGTATTTATTTGACTTGTATTCTCTTTTCTTTTCTCTGTCTGCTGTGTGTGTGTGTGTGTGTGAGGGCGGGGGGAAGGCGGCAAGGTCAACGTTTCGCGTGTCTTCTTTCATTCCCCGCCTTCCGGCTGCGGAGCTGCTCGGTTTGCTTTTGATTGTGCCACCCTTTCCCACACCATGGCCGAACACGCCCCGTCCGCGCCTGAGCCCACGCGGAACGCGGAGGTGGTATCACGCCGCCCCATGGAAGCGAAGCCGCGCCGGGAGCCCTACCGGCCATCTTCCTCCGCTGTCCTGTCCAATGCATCGTCTAGCGCCATGGCGTCCGTGCCGTCGCAGCAGCTGTTGTCGCAGACAAGCTTCACGCAGGTGGATGTGCCCCGCTTCACCTCGGCGGCGGCGGCGACGTACGCGGCTGGTACGCCGCCCCCGCGCTCGACCACAACTTTGCCACTCCCGCACGAGGGCCTGACGACGACGACATCCGTTGCAATAGGACACGAGGACGCGCTACGCAGGGCATCGGCCGCGTCCATTGCTCGGTCGCCAACGGCCACGACATCGGCAGACCCTCCTACGCGCTGCAGTGATGTAGGGGTGCCCGGACCAGCAGCGCGGGAAGCAGCAGCAGCAGCAGCGGTAGGCGTCGCAGACATACACGCCGTCGCGTCAACGACCACACCGGTGCGGTCGTCAGCGGCGGAGTCACCGACGCAGCAGCGGCGCAGCACGCTATACAGCCTGTCATCTGCACACCAGCTTGTTGTATCTCCGCAGCATCGACGCGCGATGAGTTACGTGGCTACCTCCAGCTTCTCCACCACCGCCGCCGCCGCAGCAGCAGCAGCAGCAGCGGCGCTGACAGGTGGTGATGCTCGACGGCAGCTGCATGCGCGCACGTTATCGTCTCCGAGTGGAGTGACGCCAGGGAATGCCGCTTCTTCCGCTCCTCCACCAGCAACTACAACAACCGCAACAGTTGCAGAGGTGAAGGCGGCGCTTCCAAGTGACGGACAACCGCTGCATAACCAGAGCTCCCTTCTCAGTTTTCGGTCTGCCAACGAGGCCGCAGCGCCGCCGATGGGTGGCGCCTCCTTAGCTGAGGTCCTTGCCTTCTCGCCCGCTGCGACTGCCGCGGCGGGGAGCCCCAACGCTGTCCTTGTCGCGGTCGCACATATTATGCAGCGGGAATCGACACGGCAGCTGCTGTCGCGCGTTCTTCTACGTTGGTCTCTCCTTCACAAGACGCGACAGCCGCTGCACAGAAACGGCAAGAATAACGGTGAGCGTGCGGACGACGCAGGCGGCGGTGGTGGCGGTGGTGATGCAGGCGAGGGCAGGGCCCACTCCGTTCCGCGCGAGGTGCGAGGCGCCGCCTGCGTCTCGCGCTCCGCCTCCTCGACGCTTACGATCGACTCGACGGTCAACGTCCACGCCAACACGAAGCGTCGGAGTGCGAGCAACGTGCGATCCACCTCTCCGTCAGGAGAGCCGGCGGTGCCCGTGGCGTCGCCGCTGCCGCCGTGGAAGCCGATCGCGGGCGGCGGCGTGCGCGCCGACTCGCTGTCGGTGGAGGACCGCGCCGCGGTCCGCTCCGATGACGACGACGACGAGGTGGCGGACTCCGGCAGGGCGGATGCCGCGGAGGAGAGGGAAAGCGTGAGAAGATCAGCGGCAGCGTTTTTTCGCCAGCAGCGGCAACGCAGAGACGCCGATGCCGCGTCGACAGGGAAGCCGGCGGCGGCGGGGCGGGGGTCAACGCAGGAGTCACCGCAGCCCACACAGGCACCCGTCCCAACACCGCAGCGAACAAACTCGGCGAGCGCACACGACAGCAGCAATTTGAATGTCAGCGGCCCTTCCTCTGTGAGCAGCACGTTTGGACAGGGCAACCTCAACACCAATGATAACAACAGCAATAGTCCCACCGCGAGCTCAAACATGACTACGCCGCGTGCACAGACTACCGCTGGCGGTGGTGGCGGTGGCGGTGGCGGTGGAGGGGAGGCTCGCCGAAAGAGTATTGTCGCGCAGTACTTGGCTGGCAAACCGCCGGGTAACTTGTCGCCGCAGCTGCAGAGTTCCGCAACTCCGTCTTCGTACGCCAACGCGGGCCCGGCTACGAGTGGCGTGATGGACGCGCACACGTTCTCGCTGCCCGGTGCGATGTTCAACCCCCACTCCCGCTCCCCGTCCGGCGTCAGCAGCACCGCCTTCGCGGGTGGCGCACTGAACAGCTCCTTTCCGCGGCGGCGCAGCGAGGGCATGTGGGGGCCCAACGCCACGACCACCGCTTTCATGGGCGGTGCAGCCCACACCGCGGGGTTCAGTGACTCCGAAGAGCACAGCAGCTCTTCCTTGTATTACACCCCGTGCAGCCGGCGAAGCAACGGTGTCAGCGGCACGTATGCGTCGTTCGACGATGACCACTGTTTAAGCAGCAGCAGCATGTCGATGGCCGCCATGGCGGCCGCCTCCGCCGCGACCGCGACATCGCCGGTTGCCCATAGCATTCCGCAGCTCCTCGCGCGCGAGGTGGAGAAGCGAGGCTTGCTGCTCAGCTCAGAAAGCCGTCGCCGCGGACGCATGCAGACGGCGATGTCGGCGCAACTGGATCAGCTGATCATGATGGCCCTCCATCGCAGAACCGGAGAACGCGGCCTGCATCCGTCGCTGCGCGCATCGACCGCGCCGTCACCGATGGCGACACCGCACTCCATGAGCAGTGGCAGCAGCAACAGCAGCAGCGTCAGCGTCAGCGTCGGCAGCGGCAGCAGAAACGGCGACGTGGCAGGAAATGACGTTGTGAACTACAGCTGTAGCGCTACTGAGTGCAGCGCACAGGGTCAGTGGAACGAGGGAGGCGGTAATGCTGCTGCTGCTGCTGGTGGTGGTGTTGGTCGTCGTCGTGTTCTCCCAGTCAGTGGACCGCGCAGTTCAGGGCAGGCCTCGACGCGCAGCAGCGGCAGCATCGGTGCAGCCGCCTTGTTGGGTGCACCGCAGCGCGCCACTACTCCTTCTCTTTCACATCCACTGCCGCTGTCCCCGACAAGTTACACACGACCGCATCTCTCCGTAGCGACCTCCTCGTCCTTCATGAGCCGCCGGCTCTCACACACGAAGCGTGGCTCAGACACCGATGACGTCAACGACAACGTTAGCGCCCCGGCAGGGGACGCGGACAGCCGCAGCGATGCTTCTCGCGGAGACGACGACGACGCCGCGCGCAGCCCCCACCGCATCATCAGCAACGAGTCGTCACCTCGGCACCGGCATCGCCGCCAACAACACCAGCACCTCCGCCCGTTACGACGTGGGACCCCGTTGGGCAGGAATTGCGATGCGGCAGAGGACGAACATGAATTTGAAGAGGACGACGACGATGATGATGACGGCGCGGACACGGCGACGGTGCACAGCGAGTGCACAGTGCACGGATTCGCGACGACACGCCAGTGGGTAGCACAGCAGATGCCAGAGTCCACCGCCGCAGCTGCTGCAGCAGCAGCGACAAGACCGGTGTCGGAGTCCGCGAGTTTGGATCGCTCCTTCGCGTCCACATCGCTCTCGCAGCCGCTGACGCGGGATTCGTCCGCCGTGCGGCGCAAGCGCAGCGTGTAAGCCGCCTTCCTTCTCTCTCTCTCTCCATCTCATTCTCTGAGCTAGCAAAGGAACGCGAAGTCCTGTGCTGGCAGAACGAAAAGAGAGCGGATGTTTTCTTCCCTTTTGTTAGCAGAGCGTTGCCTGTTGTTGTTCTTCGACGAAGAAGTGATAAATGGAGAAGGAAGAGTGGTAGTTGTATTTATAGGTAAGGATGTGTAGTACAGAGTGATTGTACCTCGTGCTGACTCCCTGCGTCTGACAGCCGGCTCCGCACGTGGTTTTTATTATTATTATTATTATTTTATGTTGATGTCTGTCATTTTCTTGCTGCTTGTGAGACCGAGAACTCATCTGACGAAGAGCACGCTAAACATAATTGTCATCAAAACAAAAGAATAAGAATTTAAAGGAAGAGGTGTGTGTGTGTGTGTGTGTGTGTGTCTCTGTGTCTCTCTCTTGGTCTGCATTTCGGCTCCCGAACAGCGCGTTGCACACATCCCGTCCACTTGCTGGAGCAGCGTGGCCGGCGCGCTTGTTGGCTTCGTTATCTCGCGGCAGCAGTGCCTTGACGTGTGCAGCCCACAGGCGGCCATAGGCGTCATAGATCCTCTTCGATGTCCCTATTTTGTACTCGAGCCGTTGCATCTCTTCTCCTACTACTCTCTTTCTCTCTTCGTTTTATTATTAACTTTTCTCACTGCGTGATGGTGCGTCATTAATTTCTGTTTTTTGAGTTCGGCGATAGTACGACGTGCATCAATACCCACACAAACACACACGTACACACGTTAGTATCGTAAGAGCACCACCGGCCATTCAGCCGCCTCGTCTTGGTTGCTCCCCCGCGCAAAACACCGACTCGACCCAAACCAAGCTAAAGCAAGCGTGTTTTTTTCTTTTCTTCTTAATCTTTCTCCTCTATTTTCTCCGCCGCACTTTCTGTTCCTGTTCATTATCATCATCATCGCTACCTCCCCGTCATGAAGCCCGTCACCGCACGCGCGTCCGGCTGTGCTGGTGCGCGGCATCGCTGTCTTCGTGTCCTCTGTGCACTGCTTCTACTCTTCGCTGCCGTCCCACCGCGTGACAGCGGTGGCCGCAACGGACGGCAGAGTTTTCTTTTCGTAGACGTCGCGGTGGCGGCGGGAGCGGCAGGGGCCTTGCCATCATCGCCTCCCATCATCGAAGCGGAGCTCATCGCGATTGACCTCGGCCACGAGAACATGAAGATCAGCGCCTGGCGCGTCCAGGAAGAGGAGGTGCAGGTGGTGAAGCCAGGCGGCACAGGGACGGCGGTGACGACCACCACCGCCACTACAGGCGTCGTTTCGATGGTGTTGAACGACCAGACAAACCGCAAAAGTCCTCCCTGCGTGGCCTTCCGCTACTTCAAAGCCTCCGCCGGGTCTGCGGCGAACGACGGCAGCAACATCATCACCAACGCGGAAGAGGCGAAGGCGGACGCCGCGGTCGAGGGCAATCTGCTGTACCCTGCTGACTACCAGCTCGAGCGTACGTTTGCCGAGCAAGCACAGGCACTCGCCCCGCGCTTCCCCACGCAGGTCATCTGTGACCCGGCCCAGCTGCTCGGCTACACCCTCTTCAACGCCACCTCTACCGCAAACGGATCAGAACCAGCAGCAGCAGCTTCACCGTATCAAATCTCGGCGGATGAGCTGACCGCAACCTATAGCTTCCACGTCAAGCCGATCAGCCAGCAGCAACAACAGTGGCGGCAGCGGCGGCAGGCCTTAGGTGTATTTGTGCCGTTCTTCAGCAGCCCCAACAACCCCATCGACTCCGCCGACGCCGGCTCCTTCTTCTCCGCCGAGGAGCTGACGGCGATGTTGTTCGGCTACGCGCGGCGAATGGCTGAGAAGGCCGATGCAGCGGACAACGCGCTGAGCGAAGACGAGGAGCGTCAGCTGATAGACTTGCTCAACAACACAGCAGCTCGTGGTGACCGTGATAGCGCACCACTGCGTGGGCACGCCGTCCCGCGCTACGCCGCGCTTACCGTCCCCATTCACTCCACCGTGGCGCAGCGGCAGGCGCTGGTCGATGCGGCGGCCCTCGTTGGGCTTCGCGTCGTGCGCCTCGTTCACAGCACCACCGGCGCCGCGGTGCAACTTGCATACATGAAAGCGGAGCAGGTCTTCGTGCCCGGCACGACGCAGTACGTCATGCTCTACGACATGGGCAGTCAGCAGGCGGAGGTGGCCGTCTACAGCTACGCGGCCGTGCCGTCCGCCGTGGCGCAGCGCGTGAAGTACGCCGGCGCCATCGAGCTGAAAGCGCTGGTGGGGAGTCGGCAGCTGGGCGGGGCGGCGTTTGATACGTGCATTGCAGCGCAGTGGGACGCGCTCTACTTCGCGAACTCCATCCTCGCTGGTGTTGGCCGCGCCAGGACGGAGGCGGAGCGGCGAGCCGCAGCAAAGCAGCGCGGCAGCCTCCTGCGTGCCGCGCACAAGGCGAAGGAAATGCTGTCGGTGAACCAGGAAGCGCACATCACGCTGGATGGCGTGCACGCCGATCCCGCGCGCTTTAGTGAAGCGGCACGGACGCAACTGCAGCGGCAACCGCGTGTCGCGGCGGTGACCCCTGATGGCGTGCTCACGCTGCGCTACACCCGACGCGCGTTTGAGCAGGAGTGCGCGGCGCTCTTTGACGCGGCGGTGGCGCTACGAGACGAGGCGATCGCCGCGACGGCCGGACTTGTCGGCACTGTCGGGGCGCTGGCTCGATTCGAGGTGATTGGCGGTGGCACGCGCGTTCCACTGCTGCTGCAGCGACTGAGCGAGGGCTACCGCGACGGCGGCAGCCTGGTCGACCGCACGCTGAACAGTGATGAGGCGGCGGTGCTGGGCACGACGCTGTTGTCCATCGCGACGGCCCCACACGCGCTGCAGCTGCGGGGGGCGTCATCAGTACCGCGCTATCGGGTGCGGGAGTGGCTGACGAGCGCCGTGTACGTGTCCATTTCCTCCCACAACGTAAAGGCAAAGAAGACCGACGGCACGGATGATGAGGATGGCCAGCCGGGTCGTGCTCCGAAGGCTGTCACGTCGTCCACGGCAGGCGACGACACGGCGCACCTGCGCCTGCTGTTCCCTGCCGTCAAGACGATCGTGCCGACGACCCGCAGCGTGCGAGTGCAGCTCGCCACGGACGGTGCAGACAGCGCCGAAGACAACGGCGCAAATAGGACAAGTGACCAACAGCACGGCGACGTCGTCCATCACAAGCAGAAAATGACGTCATCGGCGCCGGCGGTTGGTGACAGCGTGACCGTCACCTTGTACTCTGGGTTAGCGGTGGACGAGGCGTACCGCGAAGGGGTGCGGGCCGCGTCTGCGCAGGTGCCAGACAGCCACGGTGGTAACAACAGCACGTCCGTGGACCCGGCAGACCGCGTCGTGGCCGTCCCGGCAGCGGCGGGCTGCCCCAGCTGCTACGTCCGCACCTACGTTGTTGACGGAATTACAGACGCAAAGGAAGTGTTGAAGGCGCAGGTGGAGCGTCAGCACTCTGCTGGTCGTGGTCATGGTGGCGGCGGCGGCGTCATCGTCGAGCTGGACAGCGCGGAGGTCGTGGTGGAGGCGGCGGCCACGGTCAGCGGTATTCCACACTGCACGGTCGCCTACCTCCGGGCGGTGTATCGGGTAACGCCGGTCAACTCCACCGCAGCCACTCTCCCAACGGCAGAAGGGATGCACAGTTCTCGTCCAGAAGGTGTGGAGGCGGGTACAAGCGAAGCAGCCCATCAAGGCGAGACACACGAAGGCGGCGGCGCCGCAGCAGCGGAAGAGACGTCGGTGGACGAGGAGGAGGAGCAGGCCGGTGCGCACGCCGAGCCGGCCACCACCACCGCCGCTGCCGCCGCCACGACCACGTCAGATGTTTTCGAAGTGAAGGTATCGGCCCTGCCCATACGGCGCGTCACACCTTCCCGCGACGACGTTTCCACGACGGCCACCACCACCGCGGTGATGCTGAGCCTTCGTTGCCGTTGCGCTACAACATGGACCGCGCGGAGCTGCTGCGCTCACACGGACGGGTGCAGCGGCTGCAGCGGATGGACGACGTTCGCCTGCAACGCAGTACGCTGCGCAACGACATCGAAAGTGCGGTTATCTGGGTAAAGGAGCAGCCGGCTTGGGACGCGGCAGCGGCAGCGACGGCGCTGGAAGGAGACGGAGACGGCGCGACGACGGCGGCGTGGCGTGACGCGGTGCGGGAGATTGCGGAGTGGTTGGACGACTTCGGCGAGACGGCCGGTGTGGCGGCGCTGGAGGAGCGTCTGGCGGCGATGCGGGCTATTAAACAGATCTTGCGCTCCCAGCGGAGTAGCTAAAGAAGAGAGAGATGGACGGATGGATGGAGGCGCGCGAATTGGCTGGCGCATGAATCGTTCCACCAGCGCGTAGCTCCTTTTTTTCTTCCTACCCAGTCGTCATCGTCGTCATCGTCCTCTCCCAGCGAGAGTATGCAGGATCAAACGGCCACTATGGACTGACCAGCAACAAACATACTTGTAGAACAGAAATTGAAATCGAATGACCGCTGGCTTGTAGGTGTCCGGCGCCGATGGGATGCGGTGGCCCCCAAGTTGTATAGAACGCGCCTTCTGTACTCTGCGCGCGTGCGACAACGAAGCGGCAGACCCTCTTTCAAACACTACCGTCGGACTCAGCAGCCGTCGTGGCTTCTTCTCCTCCCAACCGATGCTGGACCCCCTTCCCCTCCCCCCGTGCCCCTCCGGCTTCTACATATTTCTCTCTTCCTCTCTCTCTTCGCGCCATTCACCTCCATCCCTCGCTCCACCTAACTTGCACGGAAGCCCCGAAGTTGGTAAAGCGCGGCGAATTCATTTTTCATTTGTCCTCTCGTACGAAACGAATCAGAAGATCTGCTGCGGTTGCCTTTCATTGCCTTTTGTTTCCTTCCTCGTCATCATGCTCCGCCGTTCCATCTCGCGGCGGCTGCCGCACAACACCACCATGAAGGACCCCCTGTGCAAGCAGGTCCTCGACCACTGCACCCCCATCGTCTACTCCTCCTTACCGAACGGATTTCGCGTCGCGACGGAGTACGTGAAGGACTGCCCGTTTGCCACCGTGGGCGTGTGGATCGACGCGGGCAGCCGCTTCGAGGACCTCCACAACAGCGGCGTCGCCCACTTCCTCGAGCACATGAACTTCAAGGGCACGGACAAGTACTCGAAGCGGGACGTCGAAACGCTCTTTGAGCAGCGCGGAGCGCACTTTAACGCGTACACCTCGCGCGACCGCACCGCGTACTACGTGAAGGCCTTCAACAAGGACGTCGACAAGATGATGGATGTGGTGTCGGACCTCCTGCAGAACGGCCGCTACCGGCGGCAGGATATCGAGATGGAGCGGCCGACCATTTTGGCGGAGATGCGGGAGGTGGAGGAATTGGTAGATGAGGTGATCATGGATAACGTGCATCAGGCCGCCTACGATCCGACAACGAGCGGGCTGCCGCTGACCATTCTCGGCCCGGTCGACAACATCGCGAAGAACATCAATAAAGCGATGATTGAGGAGTACGTGGCGGTGCACTACACGGGGCCGCGGATGTGCCTTGTCTCGTCTGGTGGCCTCTCGCCTGCGCAGACGCATCAGCTGGCGGAGAAGTACTTCAGCGCGCTGCCCGCCACGAACAATCGGCCGCGCTTGCAGGGCGTGTACAAGGGCGGCTACACCGTGTTGTGGAACGAGATGATGGCGACGGCGAACACGGCTGTCGCGTTTCCCATCTGCGGCGCCTCGCACGCCGACAGCTACCCGCTACAACTCATCCACAACGTCATTGGGCAGTTCCGCGAGGGCCAGTTTGACCAGTTTAGCGCGCAGCGCCGCAACCCGAACGTGCCGTGGGATAAGGTGCCGAACTTAGTGCAGATGCGTCCCTTCTACACCCCGTACGAGGAAACGGCGCTGCTCGGCTACAACTTGGTGACGGCGCGCATGTCCACGAGCAACAACCGCAGTGACCCGGCCTTCGCCCGCGACGACGCGCAGACCATCATGCTGAATTACATCTTAAGCTCCTTGTATGACCTGTGCGCGACGCGCGTGAGCGGTGAGCTGCTCGAGGCCGCCAAGGCGGAGTTCAAGGCGTCGGTGCTCATGATGCGCGACAGCACGACGAACAGCGCGGAGGATCTGGGGCGGCAGATGATTCACTTTGGGCGTCGGGTGCCGCTGCAGGAGGTCTTCGAGCACGTGGACGCGGTCACGCCGGAGTCGCTGCGCGCGGCGGCGGCCAAGTACTTTAGCGCGGTGCAGCCGACGGTGTCGAGCATTGGGGCGAGCAGCACGCTGCCCAAGTATGACCCGCTGTCCGTGGTGTCGAACATCGTGACGCCGCAGCTGACGCCGGCGCAGTTCCCTGCGGACGCTCGCGCCTGTCCGCTGTAATCCAGCTCAGAGGAGGAGAAAGACGGCAATGAAACAGCGCCTTTGCTCATTGACTGCCGGTTGCTTGCCTTCTTTTTCTCTGTGTGTGTGTGTGTGTGTGTGTGTGTGTGTGCTGGATAGCAGCGAGTCGTTTTTGGAGAGGGGGGCTTCCGATTTACACTACCTCTATATATATATATATATATATATATA